GGGGGTCAAAAAGTCCCCAAAAAGGTGTAAGATTAGCCTATATTTGAACTTGAACAGCCCCTAACCAAGATATACAATAAATACCGTTCAAACTATCGAGTCGAGTTGAGAGAGTTACACCCCCTTAAATCTGCCAGTTTGCTCTTATACGGGGTGCCCAGTGCCCACTACGGATGGGATCGGCCGCCTCAAAAACAAACGTGTTTTTGTTTTCTCTTTCAGGCGACCGAGTCGGCCGATCGGCCCGATCCAACCGTAGTGGGCACCCCGTATAAAAGTACACTTTTGACTCAAAATGGTATTATTAATGATCTATATTTAGGGCCTACTATAATGTTTTTGTTCGAGCTACAGTATTTGAATAAGCTTTAAAAAAAGGTAAACAGTTTTCCTCTTTCATTTAGATGTAGATTTCTCTAGATATCTTGATCTAAATCTAGTTTCTAGATCTATTTTCTAAAATTTTAATTTCCATAGATTGCAGCGTCAAGCACACGTCAATGAATAAATGCGAACTCACGAAAACCTGGCAATTGTAAGTGACATGGACGATTGTTGTATTGTCTCCTTCGAAACCGGAAATCGTAAGGAGTAGGCCTATTGCCGAGTGTGTTCTTGTTCTACTATTTTCTCTGGAACAAGAAGCTTGACTGGGCCTCTGTGATTGTTGTTATTGTTTGACACTAGAGGCCTTCTACTACCTGGTTCCGTACGAGCTGTGGATTTACAAGCCCAGGTGATACACATGTTTATATTTATTGTCTGTGAACTGTGAAAAGGGAAAAGGGCTTTGTTTCGGAATTAGATCTCTAGAATCTAGATTCTAGATAGACTACTCTGAGATCTAGAATCTAGATCTAGGTCTAGATCTATCTAGATAGATCTAGATCTAGATTCTAGACTAGATATCTAGATCAAGATATCTATATAGATCTATATCTAGATTAGATATAGAAATCTAGATCTAGATTCTAGATCTAGTATAGATATGATTATAGATCTATCTTAAGACTCCAGATCCGGCTCTTCAAGTCCAAGCCAATTTTTATTTGTTCATTGTCTTTTCTTTCCCCCTGGCATCAAAACTCCTATATTGAATTGACCTGTAGACTGCAGTTTATACACACCTGTGCCAATTTAAGTAGGCATACTCTTAATAAATTTGGAGCTTCCCCCCTTTTGTTGCCCCCTAATAAATTGAATTTGTATGAATTTCGATATTTGCCTTTTCCTTCAGGTCTGATCATAATATATCTACTAGATATATCTAGATTATCTAGATCTTGTTTGTTTGTTTGTTTAGTATAGGGTTTTACACGGCGCTCGCAACAGCATAAGGTCATATGAGCGCGCGGGACACACCTAATACTTTTTCGTTGGTAGGAAATTTTGAATTTTGCCCGGGTTGCGGCCGAAGCCTACTCTTATCGATTTTAGACCACCAAGGGATCTTTAACATGCGCCACTTGCACACGGGCCCTCCGAGATTTTTCGCCCTTGTCCGAGAAGGCTAGGTGTACATAGATCTTTCCTACCAGAAGATCAGGGGTGTGGCAGAAAGACAGCAGTTAGGAGGAGCCAAGGAGTAGCAGTAGATAGGCTGCAGAAAGAGTCAGGAGCCCAGAGGGTGGGGGCAAAGGATGTGAGGGGGTGGGGGCAGAAAGTGGAAATGAAAGCAGACAACAGAACATTGTTAGAGATCAGGAAAGGATGTGAAAGGAGACAATTTTAGAGAAGAAATTTTTTTGGTTGCCACCTGGAATCGAACCCGGGACCTTTGAATGAGAGGCCAACACCTTAACCTCTAGGCCACGAGAGCCCCCCTATCTAGATCTAGAGCGATTTATTGTAAATAATGTGAAAATACACACAGCATTTATTTGCATTTATAATGCATTGTTTGGGCGACTCTTATCATATGACACGAAGATATGCCCTGTTTTAATTTCCTTGTAGCCTCATGCATATATATATTATACACTTGCCACAGTTGGTTTGTTGTACAGTCTTAATCTACTGAGATTTTAGAGATTATGATTTTTTTCCCCCCAAATTCTAATTTTAAGGAGGTTTTTTATGAGGAAAACTCAAATTTTGGTCCTAAAGTGGTTGAACCGTTGGCAGGTCTAAGTTACAATATATAGGCTAGTATTCAAAAGGGTTAGAATTGTGACCAGAAACTCACTGCAGCAGGACACAGAATAGGAATGAAACTAAGCCAATGATTTTCTTGTCACTGGTGTCTGCTTTATTTGGGGAAAACTGTTCAAATGAGAGAGTGAATTACAACTTTGAGTATCGTGTCATCTTTACTTTCAACATGAAATGATGCGATATGATCAACAGTTTGATTATAAAATTATTTTGCAGTACGGATTTTAACATTGTATTATTTGCAATTTTTCCCCAACATTCTTCCAGAGTGTAAAACTGACTAGGGTTGAGCATGGATACACATTAACCGTTGGCATATATATATATCATATCATATGTCATATGTTTGACGTAATATTGTAATAATTGTAGTTCTAGTTGAATGATTGATGTGTAAAGGAAAATGAAAAGGATTATATGATCATATTGAAGAAAATCAAGGGAAGCACCTGTAACGGTATACTGGTGGTAGGAAAATAAATCAATGCCGTCATGAAGAGCACTTCGTATGTGGTGTCAGTAGTCAAGTGGTTGAGCTACTGGACTTCTAATCTTGAGATTATGATGGGTTTGGGAACTTGAAGCTCAGCTAGCTTGTTGTGTGCTGTGGAAAGGCATTTTACAGTCCAATGTTTACTTGTGGCTTGATCCTATCGGAGATGGAACTTTTACTCAGAGGTGCCTCTTCAATACCATACTGTGTTGCAAGGGATGTTAAATCTATACAATTTCATAGTTTGTATTATCGGTAAAGGAATAGAGATTGATGGATAGTGCGTGCACCTTGTTCATTGACGAAGCGAGATGTACAGGATGAGAGTGATGCTGAATATGCCGCTTTTATGACTAAAAAGATTGCTCGTATGTTAGATCACAATCATGACGATGTAATATAATCTACTCTGGTCAGAGCCCACCACCCACGTCTTGTTTAATCACTTCCCGATCTACTCCTTCACTTTATGTTCAAATAACCGCACACACGGTATACGTGCACACAAACACAAACATTTGAATTGCTCACCATATGGCCCAATTCAGTGCCTCACTTTCTGTCTTTGGTCACATCCCACCACCCTGCACCTTCCCTCACATGATGACTAGATTCAAGGAACAAGGAAGTTCTACTCCTTTGCCTCCTCCTCTGGGCTCCTGACGCTTTCTGCAGCCTTTCTACTGCTACTCCTTGGCTCCTCCTTACTGCTGTCTTTCTGCCACACCCCTGATCTTCTGGTAGGAAAGATCTACACCTAGCCTTCTCGGACAAGGGCGAAAAATCTCAGAGGGCCCGTGTGCAAGTTGCGCACGTTAAAGACCCTTGGTGGTCAAAAATCGATAAGAATAGGCTTCGGCCGCCACCCGGGCAAAATTCAAAATTTCCTACCAACTGAAAACATTAGGAGTGTCCCGCGCGCTCATATGACCTATGCAGTTGCGAGCGCCGTAAAACACTTTACAAAAACAAAAAAACCCAAAGGAAGTTCTAGTGACTATGCTCACTACAGATAGTGTGCAGTGGTGCGTCTTGATTACTTGATGTGTGTATTGCGCTGTCCGGGGGCAAGCCTGATGGGCTCATGTAACTGTAACCATACTCTTAATGATGATAACTCTTAATGATATTTGTTTTTCCTTTGTGCGTGCAGGGTGATTTGATGAGGTTTTTTTTTAGATGAACTGTTTTACCCACATCTGTGTGGGTGCTTGAGAATACCCTGGTTCCACTGGGAAGAAAATTTAGCCGCTCCGTGGAGAATGGTATTTTATTCGGGCTATCTGTGAATTTTTCATGGTTTGTGTGTTTGAGTTATATGTGCTTGACTGTAGTTGAATTTGAGAGTCTACGAGAATCATTGAGAATGTTGACACAAGTGCTCTAATACTACTAATAGCAACCAACGAAACAATAATTGAAAGTGCTTGCAACTTTTATTTTAATATATATGTGAGGCATCAAGGTGAAATCAGGCGCTTGTCAAAATAATGATATCGGAGAAACTAAATATTTTTCAGCCAGTGTGTGGCATTTTGTATGAAATTTTTTATTTTTGGTTCAACACCATTTATTATGTCCATTTAAAAATACCTTTCTGTGTGTATTTTACTGAAAAACGTTGATTAAAAGTACAACAATATAAATTTTCAGTTTCTAAGGACTCTCAAGCTGTGGAAGTCACCAAACTTTGGCGGCCGTTTTCTTGATAATTTTGTCTCTGAAAGCAGGCGATCCCCACGCCCTGCAATTGTAGATTATCTCAACTTCTATTAAAAATAGATGGGTATTTTTTCCATTGAATAATTTGAAAGAAAGACAAATGAGCAAGCTCAAAGATGATACCAGTACCTCCTCATGCCCAAAAATTGAGGAGCGCCTGATTCAATGTGTCGTGATACATATATATGGATCAAAATTAAGAGAAGTATTCTATATGTGAAGGTGTTTTAAATACTTGCAAGCCACCCATGTACTATAACAGTTATAACTTCAAGGACCTTGAGGGTTGGGGTGGGGGGGAGTGGTGGTGGGGGGTAGAGAATGTAAATTAATGTAATAATTGTACATCTTTACATTTGAGTGTCCTATCTCGAAGCTAGCTAACTTTTTTCTAGAAGTGCAACATGTATAAGAAGATCTCTCATCAAATTGAGTCCCATCGTCACACCAAGTCCACCAACTATTACTTCAGCTTCACTCACATGCTGATCTCTGGGTTAAGGTCAGTTCTTTTGGGATAGAATGAGGAAGTATGCCTTCAATTTCCTCATGGACAGTCATTTCACTGAACCAAAATCACATCTGGACATTTGTTATAGTTTCTTGCGGACAGCAACAAATCAGATGTGGTACTGACCGACCAATTGAGGGCGTAATCATAGTTAAGAAACGAAAAGAGGGTGACATTTAAAATAATCTATCTTTATTTTGCACACTATTCACTATGAAATATTCTAACTTTTTACTTTATTGACAACATAATTTTGTCAGGCTCTTATGTTTCTTCCTCTTTTCGGCTAATTTAAGCTTCTGCGTGAACAGAGTTGTCTTGAAAAATAAGTTTATAATAGAGATTTAAGTACGTGATGTGTGTATGAAGAGTGAAGCGGGCCTGAGGTGAACACTGAAATGGTGACAGCAATGCTATCATTGCAGACAGTGACAGAGACTTGAAACAATTACACCTTTGTCTGCCTTTGAGCTTGACTTTTTCACCCATTTGCTAAGAGGGTAATTTTTATTTTTTTTATTTATTAATTTCTTAATTTATTTATTTAGTAAAACTACTCTTACTAAAACAAAACTGACCAAAAACGCTAACGCGCGTGCCTCGTAACTCAGGTCAGTGGGAGGCACTGCTTGATGGCGGTGATCGGGGAGCGGGGATTATGCCCCCCCCCCCCCTTTAAAAAAAAGTAGTGTAGTACCCTGTCTGACCTTCGTTTCCTCGTTTGTTTACTTCTTGTCGTTTGTCCAACGAGCCGTTAATTGTTGAGCAGGTGGTTTTTGGGGCGCCACCGGTTGGCCCTCTTCCTTTCTTTCCCTCAGTTGTTTCTGTCTCTCTGTCATACTTCTTCCTTGCGCTA